AGGTATTCAGCTACACTGATTTCTATGAGGTAGTTACAAATATACATAAAATACAGTTTTTTGAAATGTTACGCAGACAGTGATAATGGACTTGTACAACAAAGAAGAACAAATGAAGAAATAAAACAAATCTTCATTCACAGTCATGATGTGTTTAGGTCTAAACTTGCCATAATCCTTTTTCGTTAAAACTCAAAATAGATTGCATCCTCACAAAATAAGGACAAAAGCAAAGAATCGTGTAATACCCTAATTTCAAGTCATACCATGGTCCTAGTGTGGTTTTTAAAGAGCCCTTAGTTTACCTATGCCAACAACTATTTCAGTTAGCATATATAAGGGAAAGAGAGAGCCCAATTCACATAAACTTGTACACGTACCTGTTTCACCCCTTGATATGGTCTTACCCCCCCCCCCCCCCCAAATACTACACACAGGCAAATGATCAAACTGATACAATATTCTATGGGATAGCCATTGAAGTTTGGAACCTTTACTTAAACAAAATTATCAGTGCATGTTTATGGCTTTTACACAACCAGTTTACGAAGGTATCACAATTAGTTGCAGTACACCTACAGAAAAATTTAGAAAATTACTGAAATATACCCAAATAAAAATAGGTTCAACATGAGTTATAGAACGATGAAATTAGCAGTTATTTCAACTGCTAAATATATAAGCATAGCTTTTTAGGCATATAAAGAATTTGTGTTGAATATTCATGTGTGTTTATGTGTGATTGGTAAAACTTAAGTAATTAGCTAAGAACACACTGAGAGAAAATTATGATATGTTTGTTTTTACTTAATTTGTTAAAATAGCGCTTCCAATTTATTTTAAACTGAAATATTTGGAACTTTGATGTCTACCACAGGAATATGGGCATACAATTACTATGATATTCCATAACACGTCAAGTGAAAAAAAGGAGCTGGGCCCACTGTGCTCATTGGTGTTGGTGACAGAATATTTTGTGGTTATGACACTTGGAATATTCGTAGATTTTGTGACTGCTTCTTTGTAAGGAAAAGTCAGAATTACTGGTTCATTCAGAATGTCAGAGAACATAGTGTGTCTATTGTTTTCCAGTAGTTTTGATTTAGAAATATACTTGATTTCCATGATTTAACTATTTTTAAGCCCCCAGTGGAACAGCGGCATGTCTGCGGACTTACAGTGCTAGAAACCGGGTTTCGATACCTGTGGTGGGTATTGTGTAGCTTTGTTCTTAACTTCAAACAAACAAGCTATTTTCAAACTTTGCAAATATGACTAATGTGCTATTTGACAATAATTTCTGGACAAGGTAGTTGTTGCATACAAATTTAGAGCTCAGTACATTTACTTGTAGTATTATAACAGTCTTTGGTTGCACAGCTATAATTGTGTGTCTATTTGTGAAATTAATCGTAATGTTGCTTATTTATTCAGATCATGTTTGGAAGAAAAATTACAAAACCTTCAATGTTAGAAGTGTGAAGTGTTGGTCGGTCATTTCTTGTGAAAAAGATGGTTTACTTTCAGTTTCTGGCATAAATGTTCGTTTGCAGTTTCCCCTTTCTTCCACAATAAAACTGAAACTGTTTTGGCAACCAGACGATTGTGAAAGATTTCACTTCTATGTGAGATGGCTGTGCTTGCAAGTTGATAAGTCTATTGCCAGGGTATGGCATAATCAGGGGTCTGGCAACATATTTTTGTATGTAGTGTCCCAGTACATTAGACATTCACAATTGTTTGGGACAAGTACATTCTTGGAATAGAAGAGTCAGTGCATTGTGAGAAGTAGAATGTACACTACATCCTAATAATGGCTGGAGACGGCTTAAATGGGTAATGAAGAAAAACTTTAATATAAGTTTAACATGACAGCAAATGTACAACGTTTCGACAAGGTTTTGTCACCTGATGATG